AGGGTCAACAAGTTAGCTCAGCAGGTGAAGGCACTTGCCTCCAAGCCTTAACCAACCAGAGTCCAACCTGGGACTCAGGTAGTAGGAGGTGAAAACCGATACTCATACCATGGCTTGCATGGCAGACAAATAAAAATAAATAAATAGTAATTTTTAAAGTGTGGTGCACACCGGGCATGATAGGGAATTAATATACAGAACAAATTAATGTTTCTTTCAAGTTAATAAGAAAAAATAGGCAAAAGAACAAACAACCAATATATATATATTTTAAAAATTTCAACTCACTAGTAATAAAAATAAAAATAGGGAGCTATTTCCTCCATATCAGATAAGCCCACACCAGAAAGCTCAGTAATTAACAAGAAAGAAAGAAGTTAAGGAAATATGGGGCCGCCTGGCTAAAGAGATGGCTCAGCCTTTAGAGCACTTGCTGTTCGCGCGGGGCCTGGTTTCAGTTCCCACTTAGATGTCAGCTTAGTCTTTAGACGCTCCACTTCTGGGGCACCCAAAGCCGCCTTCTGACGTCTGTGTGCGCCAGGCGTGCATCCTTGCAGGCAGAACCCTGCACACATAAAATAAAATTAATAAGAACAAACAGGCCAGTGTGGAGCCGTGAGTGCTGTCACTGTGGGTGGGAGAGAGCTGTCTGTCAGAGTTGAGTGTGTCCCTTTAGCCAGCACCGTTTCTTCTTAAGATCCACACACAGCAGACATGGTGCTGCATGCTTTCAGCCCATTACTCAGGAGGCAGAAGCAGGCAAATCTCTGTGAGTGTGGGGAGGAAGAAGAAGCGGGGTCAGGAGGAGAGGAAAAAGATGGCAGCCCAAACTCCCTAGAGCCTTTAAATGCCTGTCCGTAGAGGAGCGCTTCAGTAGCAACTGTTAGAGAGGAAGAAATGAGCACAGTTGTACAGAGAGGTGCATAAGGAAGATGCTGGACCGGAAGAAACCTCATCAGTCACATACAAGACAGCAATATTTGATTTTTCTCTAATAACACAGATCTGCCTTTCTAACAGACATTAATAAAAGTGGATAGAATTTGGTGTGGGGAAGCTGCATTAATCTAAGGCTTCTGGATGGGAGACTGAAATTGCTAGGCAGGCTGGCCTCTTACTGTGTGGTTTACAAAGAGTAGATAGCAGACGGCAGAGGCTACCAACCCGAGAGCAAGAAAAGGTGAGACTCGAAGGGCAGGGTTCCTGTGAGAACTGCAAGCACCAGTGTGACTGTCTGAAGAGATCATTGAGCGAGTGTCTCCCTCTGCCAGTCCTTGGCTTCACTCCCTCTGCAGTTCCGGCTTTGCACTGGCTCTTCCCAGGTTTTCTGTGGCAGTGTGTTTTCAGTGGGGAGGTATTGAGCCTGAGAAGAGCCAGTGTTCAAGAGATGCCAGTGTTTCTTCTGTTGGCAATTGTAGGCAACTATATTCCTTGTAAGGATTAGCCACTTTCATCATCACTAAACAAAGGGGTGGTAGTACAGACAGTCCAGCTGCTGAGCAAGGAAATCATTAGGCTTTAATTCTCTAGTGCCCTTGAAATATATTTGGACATAACTGGTCTGTGAACTTGGAAGTTCCTCATTTCAAATTCAAATAACAATACCTGGCTGGTGTTAATCTCAGAGGGTTAAGGGCTTGTCCCACAAGTGTGAGGACCTGAGTTCAAATCTCCAGAACCACATGAAGTCTCAGGCATGGTGATGCAGGTTTATAATCCCAACTCTGTACAGAGAGATAGTCTCCAGTTTGTGTTCTCTGCCACAGCATAATTTTCTTGTAGACTGTAGAAGTCTTACCTTTCTGCATGGTTTAAAATGTGCTACTTTCTCTTTAAATTCGCTTCACAGTTGTCCACAGTGTTTATAGAGGACTCACTACAGATACCCAAATCCACAGGTGTGCACACTCGTACAGAAAATGGTACATAGTACTTGTATGAGAGCTATCCGAATCCATATATTGTCAGTTATCGCTGCATTCCCTATAATACCACCTAATACAATGCCACATAAGCAATTATCTAGGAAATAACTACAGAAAAGATCAGTTGGTACAAGTGACTTTTTTTTTTAACCCTGAGTATTTGCTTCACAGTTGGTTGAACCTGCAGATCCATGACTCACACATACTGATTTGTGTGACTGATTGTATCCTCTGACCACTTCAGTAGAGGGTTAGGAGACATCCTGACTTGAAAGTTCTTTTCTTACAATTGAGCCTAAATACCAGAGAGGAGCCTCAAAAATCCCTGGTGTGAAGACAGAAGGAATGAGGGACATGTGGGATTCGAGACTGTGTTGCTGATAACACATTTGCTAGATAGCAGGAAATAACTGTGTTTACGAATGGTGTGTTTCCGGGATGGTAAGAACTACTGCTTCATGTAGGTGCCTTAGCCTTCTGTTACCTATCCGGATACTAGATTGAAACCCATCACTCGACGGTACTAGTGAGGTGTCCTACCACCTAGAGCCATGTCTCCAGCCCTTCAGTTAGGCTGGTTAGCATTGTAGAAAATCTTTTCTTTGAAACCATCTCTAGTGTGTATGTGTTTGGCGTGTTTGTGACTGGATGTCACGTAGTCCAGGCTGCTCTGGAACTTGCTATGTAGCTAAGGTTGACCTTGAACTGATCTGCGTCCACCTCCCATGTGCTGGGATTGCAGACGTAGGCCACCAGGCCCGGTTTCGTTTCCACTGTGTGTTTGTGTGCATGTCTGCCCACGTGCATGCAGAGCCTGCAGATATCAGAAGAGGGCATCATAAAATGGGGCAGCGTTTAACAGAGCTGCCATGAGGGCTCAAGGAGTTAAAGTGGCTCCTGGAAGAGCAGCCGTTGTCCCTCACTGCCAGCCCTCTTTCCAGCTCCTATCCTCCTATACTCCTTACTTTTAATTGCTACTGACCCTTTTCTCTCCGTTTGAACTCTGGAAGGAGCAGCGTTTTCTATTGTGCTGGCTTGCAGTAACTTTCCTGGCTCACCTAGGCCTCTAGGCTCAAGGAGACCTAAGTCAGAATGAGAGCAGCCAGGCAGGCTTATCCCAGCCAATTAAAGGACAGCCTGAGAAGTAAGACCCTGTTGATTGTCTCCCTGTGGGCCACAGCCAAGCCTTCCTTAACAAGCACATTGAGACCTTGCTCTCCCAGACTCTAGGGCCAGTAATTAACCCAACTGGCAGTGAAGGCCCAGAGTTAAATTCTGGAAAGGAATTATTCAACTCTTTCTATGCCGGACAGCTGATAACTGATTTTCCACTTAGAGACCCTTTCTGGTCAGGGGCCATACCTGTAGTCCCAGCACTGAGGAGGCTGAGGCAGGGAACCTCAAGTTCAAAGCTAGACTGCATTATATAAGAATCTTCTCTGTACTTATCATTATTATTATTATCATTATTATTATTGGCTTTGAGAGAGAGAAGGTCTCTTGGTCTTTTTAAAAGTCTTAGCATTTATTTGGGACAGTCTAAAAATAGTCTCCTTTTGGGGCTGGTTATTAATGGGACTAAAAGGGGAACTTTTAAGTTTGTAGTGTCAGTTTATTTCATTTGTGCTTTTGAGACAGCTGCTGTTTTGTATGTGGAGAAATACAAAGTATATATAGGCCCTTTTCTGTTCTGTGTATCTGAGGCTTGAGAAAACACTCAAGAAACTTGGATAAAGGGGAGAATGACTTTCTTGAAATGTCTGGAGGAGTGACCCCTGAGCAGCTGATAGGTTTGCAGATGACACATCTCTGTTAGCCTGCCGTGTGATCCTCAGAGCGAGTGTACCTGGAGTGTGCAACACCATAGCCTGTAGGCCTAAGACTGCGGTGGAAGCGTGGTCTGCACAGGGCTAACCAGGCGTGTCTTTATTACGTAAGCATGGACATTTGTATTCATGGTCCCCCACTGTATAACAGGTTGTACTGTCTTCTGGTGTAATGGGCTTCCGTGTTTATTAGAAGAAGAACTAGAAGTACACCGGTGGACACATTCTCCCATATGAAAGTGTTGACATTCTCATTGGTAACTAACCCCACCCTTTCTGTGTTACCTTTTAGTTACAGGTATAGCCTGTGCAGGTCCTTGAGGCTGACTTTTTGCTCCAAATACTTCTCTCCTGGTTTTAGGGTGCAGAGGCAGCCCAGATGTGTTCTTGGTGGGTGCAGGATACTGCCCTCTGCGAGATCTAAGATTTTAACTTGATAAACTGCTTTTCTTGGCCCAAATCGTCCTTGCTGAAGAACGTTGATAGCACAGAACTACCATCTCTCTGGTCCCCACGCCAAGAAAGAAGTGTGTCAGTTGGTGATGGTGTAAGCCTGATTTGGTCTCCGTTAGCTTTGCAAAGCTGAGTAAAGCATTCAAACATAGACAAGTTGCTGCATCTACCTCTGAGACCTGTATACACTGGCCTAGCTTCCAGGGAAGTTGGTAGAAGTAATCTTGGGTTATTTTCACCTTACTTAGTGAAAAAGCAATTTTTCACATATCTTATAAGCATCCATCTCTTCGTGGATGTAACGCACCTTTTGAGGTTTGTGATGTTTTTCATTCTCTGGAAGTACTGCTCTGGAGTCATCTAAGTTACAGACAAGCTGCTGCTCACTTTTAGCCTTCTGTTTTCTACTTGACTGCTGCCTCCAGAGCGGGGTCGACAGCCCCTTGACACAGGCCGTCGGCTGATGAAAGTTATACATGGAAAATAAGCCCTAGTGCAGCAGTGTCTCGGGGAGTGGAGGCCAAGTTTGGAGGTGGACATTGCTGCCCCTCTAAGAACAGGTCTACAAAGTGCAGTTTTTAAGGTCCTCTTAACCAACAGCTGTCTCCTCCTCAGTCACCCACAGAGCAGAAGTAGCTATAAGAGCAATGGGCTCTCAGCAGTCACAGCTAGAGTGCTCTGACACTGTAAAGAAGGCTCTTTGTCATGGTCGTGGGGTATGGTGAGGGCGCAGGCACAGCCCAGGTGCCGGGTGCCGGTCCTGAGGTCCCTGTGCTGACCCTGCTCTTCTCTCCAGGCTCAGCTTCGCGCATTCATCCCGGAGATGCTCAAGTACTCCACGGGCCGGGGGAAGCCGGGCTGGGGGAAAGAGAGCTGCAAGCCTGTCTGGTGGCCAGAGGACATCCCATGGGCCAATGTCCGCAGTGATGTCCGCACAGAAGAGCAAAAGCAGAGGGTAAGTTCCTCTCGGTTGCCCAGTCAGTAGCCTGCAGTCTGTCACTGCTTCTTTGCTACAAAGCCTCAGAACATTTAAAGGAGTCAGCCCTGCCCCTCCAGAGAATTTGCAGTGTTTTCTGGTGTATGGTCCTTCCTGTTCATTATTCCGTCACTCTACACAGAAAGATCAGGAAAAACTGAATTTACGCTTCATTTCTTCATAGCTACTTTAAGCCAGAGAAACTTGAAGTTGGAATATTAGTCCTTTAGCTTAGAAATGGTCTAATGTCTGATGAGCAAGAATCGCCGCTGAGTGGGGTCTGGTGGCACACTTCGTAACTACAGCCCTCAGGAGGCTGAAACGAGCATCTCTAGTTCAAGGCCAGCTTGGACAACAAAAATAATGACTGGTGAGGAGCTAGAGAGATAGATAGTGGTTAAGAGTGCTTGCTGGTCTTGCAGAAGACCTGAGTTGAGTTGCTAGCACTCATGTTGGGTGGCTCACAACACATGTAACTCTAGCTCCAGGGATCCGACACTCTCTGCTGGCCACCGTGGATACCATCACGCATGTGGGGCACGCGCACAGATATGCTTACATGCACATGTACATACCTGTATACATAGAAAAACTGGAAGGAGTCGCTGTTGAAGCCGCTGTACGGTAGGAGGGGAGTGCGCCAGGGTGCGTTAGTTACAGCGCTTGGGCTGGACTAGGGCACGCTCCTTCCTTTTTCTACACGCCTGTTGGGTTTTGTCTGGAAGCTTATTACGAGGCTTACTGTATACTTCTTGGTCAGAGTGTTGTTTCTTCTGAGAAATTTGAGAGTTTGGATCAGACCTTTGAAGGAAGGCTGGGGAAACCGTCAGTTTCTTTGTTCCAGGATAATTCTGTGGAAATCCTAAGAGGTGGGATGAATACAGCTCGTAGATAGCAAAGCTCTGTGGCTTATTGTGCTTTCTTGGTCTTTTGGTGACAGGTTTCATGGACCCAGGCATTACGGACCATAGTTAAAAATTGTTACAAGCAGCATGGGCGGGAGGACCTTTTATACGCTTTCGAAGACCAGCAAACGCAAACTCAGGCCACCACCACACACAGCATAGCCCATCTGGTGCCCTCGCAGACCGTAGTGCAGACCTTCAGCAACCCTGATGGCACCGTGTCACTCATCCAGGTGAGAGGATGTGGTCAGGGCATGTCACCTCGCACCCGCTGTCCTCAGAGCATCACACAGCTGCTCTGGCTCTCTCTGTACCTGCATTTATTTTCTAAACAGCGTTCCATTTATTTCTCATTTCACTTTATTGTGGCGCGTGGAATGGGGCCAATGGCCTCACCCAGAGAAGGTACCCGGCCACGTGGCCACATCTCATCTCCAGCCTTTGAGCCATAGTTTACAGTGGCTGCATTTTGTTTAATTCAGAGATATGAGTAGCTTCTGGGACACTTCCCAGCAAAGCACCAGAAAAAAACAGAGAGGAGGGTTTGGGGAGGAAAGGAGAGAGGGAGGGAGGAAGAAGGAGAGCAGAGGCCAGGGAGATGCCTCTCCTGAGGTGCGGCTCTGTGGTTGACAGGTGAGGAGTCCGAAGCCGGCGGGCTAGTGCAGTGTTGGTTGCACCCAGCGCTGGGAGAGAGTCTCGGCGCTCTCCTGATGCTGCTTTGGCTACAGCACGTTCTGAACCTAAGATGATTGTAGTGAATGCCGTCACGTCAGAAGGCACATTCTGCCGCATCCGGGGCTCAGAGAGTTTAGCTTGTGTGTAAGGGCCAGGCAGAAGTCTACCCGCTGACACTTACCTTCTGGTCTCCGTAGGTTGGCACGGGGGCAACGGTGGCCACGCTAGCTGACGCTTCCGAGCTGCCGACCACAGTCACTGTTGCCCAAGTGAACTACTCCGCTGTGGCTGATGGAGAGGTAAGAGAAGGCTTTCTATGCCCCTGTTGGGACAGCGCGAGGGTAAGGAAGGAGGACGGGCCCAGAGGATGAGCAGCAGCCTTGCGTTATCTCAGCCATTTAATATCAATCAGACCTGACAGTTTGTAGATGTTAATTTAACAGTTAAAATTCATGGATCACTACAACCCAAACTGACATGTTGGAAACTTGGAATTTTACACGTGTAATACAGTATTTTGTATAAAACACAATAAAAACAATTATCCCTTCAATACTTTTACAAAAAAGACCATTTGGGGGCTCCCATGCTGAGCATAGGCAATCCAAGCAGTTGCAAAGAAAAAAAGGTAAGTTGTTCAGAGACATGGTACCAATTATATGGATGTTTAGAATTTAGCGTTAAAGCTGTAAAAGTAAACTGTGTGTGTTGATTTTAAGGTATGTAATTTATTTAATGTGCAATTGGCTTAAGAATTAATTCTATTGTACAGTGGCCACCAGTGGGTACTGGTCTTGTTGAGTTCATTGGATGTCAGAAAAATAGAATGATAACTGGTGATAATGGTATATTTAATTCCACTGGACAAAGATTTAAAAACGACCAAAGTACAAAGACATTAAAGATGTGAATTTAAAGCGTGATGCCAGCATGTGTAATGGGTTTGGAATTGCATGGCACGCTTCGGTAGGTTTTTAATAAATACCAGTTCAGCTGAAATACAGAAAATAGAGGCGCACGCTCTCCACCTACACATTCAGTGAATGACTGTCCAGCAGACACACGCAGTAAACCACACTCGTCCCTAAGGGACCACAGCGGGTGGGGGACCCATGGCGAGCCAGCACTGGGAGAAGAGGGGCCCCAGTGTAGTGCAGGCAGCTGCCTTCTGAGCGCCTTCCAGAAGAGTAATAGCCCTGGGTTCGGGCCACAGGCCTGCAAGTAAAAGCAGAGGATTCGGGATGGGGGCATGTCTCATACAAAGATGCAAGCATTCCAGGCCCTGAGTTTTGAAGACATGACATGGCTACTGTGGCTCACTCTAGCTAGACAGAAGAGGAGCCACCATTTGAAAGGCCTCAGCACAGCGAGTTTCTGTCAGCAAGGCAGTAGGACATCAGAATTGCTTTACCTCCTGGGCTCAGAGCCCTCTCTAGAGGGCCTCTAGAACACATGAACATGCAGGCACATTCTGTTACCCACGGGAAGGGAAGAGCGATAGGCTCAAGCCAGCACAGCCACGGAAAGCACTGCTAAGAAGTAGGTGGTGCCAAGCCTGCCCTCTGCCTCCCATCCAAATCCAACAAGTTTTCTTTGCTTCCCCCCATCCATCTTTCCCTGCCTCCTTCCCTTCCTGTCTTTCTTGACAAGGTCTTTCTGTGTAGCCCAGGCTGACGTGGAACGTAGGAACCTCCTGAATGCTGGGATTATAGGCTTGTGTTGCCATACTTACTCAAAGTATTTTCAGTGATTTCTCTCATGTGCTTCCAGAACTTTTGGATACAGACAAAATCAGATTCAAATTTATTTTAATTTGTTTATTTTATGTATGAGTGTTCTGTATTCCTGCACTCCAGAAGAGGCCACCAGATCTCATTACAGATGGTTGTGAACCACCCTGTGGTTGCTGGGAATTGAACTCAGGAGCTCTGGAAGAGCAGCCAGTGCTCTTCACCTCTGATTCAAATTAAACAGCCCCTTTTGCACAAGATAGAGTGTGATGAAGCCGTGCCCAGACATCGTATAGGCCATGTTCTCTGCACTCATGTGACTGAAAACAGCAGTGTTACACTTTGATTTTTGACAATCCTGTCCTTTCTGCCTCAGGTGGAACAAAATTGGGCCACTTTACAGGGAGGTGAAATGACCATCCAGACGACGCAAGCATCAGAGGCCACCCAGGCGGTAGCATCGCTGGCAGAAGCCGCTGTGGCAGCTTCTCAGGAGATGCAACAAGGAGCCACTGTCACCATGGCCCTCAACAGGTGGAGGCAGGGGTGGGGTGAATGGGATTGCAGGTCTGTCCTCAGCTCACAGGGACATCGTCAGGCTAAGACCCTGCAGGCTGCGTCGGCGGCTCTCTGCAGCCGTGGGTGGAGCTCCCAGGGCTTGTGCGCTTTAGGCACATTCTAATACCCAGCTACAGTGCCGTGCTTTCTGATCGGCCCTCACCAGGAGAGACTGAGCTTTCTATTCAGGAATACTTAGGAAGCGCACACTACAGGAAGAGGGAGGCCTTTTCCAAAACAATTGCATGCTGCCTTCTGGCTACTGCCCGCCGACTATTGACCGGAAAGGCCGTCCCCATTTTATTCTTTTTACACTTTATTCACTCTGTATCCCCCCCATGAGCCCCTCCCTCCTCCCCTCCCGATCCCACCCTCCCTCCCCCTTCTTCACGCATGCCCCTCCCCAAGTCCACTGATAGGGGAGGTCCCCCTTTCTGTCCTTCTGATCTTAGTCTATCAGCTCTCATCAGGAATGGTTGCATTGTCATCTTCTATGGCCTAGTAAGGCTGCTTCCCCCTCAGGGGGAGGTGATCAAAGAGCAGCACAATAAGTTCATGTCAGAAACAGTCCCTGTTCCCATTACTAGGGTACCCACTTGGACACTGAACTACCATGGGCTACATCTGTGCAGGGGTTCTAGGTTATCTCCATGCATGGTACTTGGCTGGAATATCAGTCTCAGGAAATACCCCGTGTTCAAATTTTCTGGTTCTGTTGCTCTCCTTGTTGAGTTCCTGTCCTCTCCAGATCTTACTATTTCCCACTTCTTTTATAAGATTCCATGCACATTGCCTGACAGTTGGCCATAAGTCTGAGCATCTGCTTTGATAGTCTGCAGGGCAGAGCCTTTCAGAGGCCCTCTGTGGCAGGTTCCTAACTTGTTTCCTGTTTTCTTCTTATTCTGATGTCCATCCTCTTTGCCCTTTGGGATGGGGATTGAGCATTTTAGTCAAAGTCCTCCCTCTTGATCCCATTTTATTCTTTATTCTTGGCACAATTTTATTTTCAGCAAACCCAGGAAATTTTACTAACAGGGACCTTAAAGTCACTCTGCCCTGTCACTTGCTAGCCGGCTGATCCGTTTACTTAAGCTGTCAGCACCCAGGCTTTCTTTTTCTATAGACTGACAGTAACTCCTGCCTTGAGGAAGTGTTGTGAGAACTGAAGAAATCTCTTGCGGTGAGATCCTTGGATCAGCGCCCAGCATGTGGTCAGGGCTGCTGCGAATCGTGTGTGCAGCCATTAGTGTCGCACGGCCTTGACCTCCACGGCGAGCCAGCACTCTGACTAGGTGTTGTGCGTAGAGAAGCACACAGTCTTTGCTCTCACAGAAACCCCGCTCTCACTGAGGAGACTGATTTCAGTGAGCCACCTAAGAGGTGGTGCCAGAAAGTTCCTGACTGGTAAATTGTGGGCTCTGACAGTGAGCACCATAGAAATCCAGAGAGGGACCTACCTTCCCCGAATACAGAAATCAGCTGACATGTAGAGTGGAAACACCTTTTTGTTGTTGTTATTAAACTGCCTTTTTAAAAAAAAAGCTTAGGTTGGGATGGCTGGACGGCTGGAGAGGGTAAGTGCATTTGCGTGCAGTGTGCTTATGGGGCTGTCCAGTGTGGCGGTGAGGGTTCTGGGGTCACATAGACTTCTGGTTTGAATCCCGCTAACCAGGTGTTAGCCATTTGCCCCTAGAAACTAACCCCTAGTCTTAGTTTCCTCTTTGTTATTGTAGGCTAATGCTCATGAACAGACTCAAACCAGCGAGACCATGTGCATAAAACTCTCATAGGCATGCCAGCTCGTTCATGGTAACACTTATGGAATTAAATCTGTCTTCTTTCCTTTCTGCCTCTCTTCCTTTTTCACCTTCCTCTCCCCTCTCTTTCTTTTAGGGATTCTCACTGTGTACCCCGGGCTGGCCTTGAATATGGTGATCCTCCTGGCTTAGGCTCCTGAGTACTACAATTGTAGGTGTGGGCTCATCTTATTTAAATTATGCTTCAAGAGGCTATGGGGCTAGACCAGTGGGAGAGCCTGACATGTGTGAGGCCCAGGGTTCAAGTTGTGTTTTAAGATTGGACTAGTCAGAATTGATGGTAGTGGGGCGTGCTCTAAAACCAGTCCAGAGCTCAGCTTCGCTTCGCTAAAGCTTGGAAACCAGTGATTGTGAAGGAAGTCATGGCTAAGACATGGTTGGTCAGACTCCATGACTGAGACACAGGCCTGTGCTCACCCATGTCCTCTCACACTTACTGTGAATCTCTGCAGCCCACTGACGAGTGTGCTTTTCAGAACCACTCAGATAAACTTGCTGAGAGCAGGAAGAACCCCCACCTCCAGCCTGGTGCCCTTACTGCTCCTTTCTGGGTAACAAGCCGTCACTATAGATGCACCTGACTCCCAGCGAGCTGTGGTGCCCTGGGAACCTGCTCAGAGTGGAAAATCTGAAGTGTTCTCTGGCTCCCTTTGCTTCAAGGATAAGCTATGTCTAAGGGCAGTGAGCACAGTGGCATCCCCTGAGGGCTTGTTAGCAGAGCTCAGATGCAGCTGAGGCTGTGCGGTGTTTACTCCAGAAAGGAGAGTGTGCTTCTCTGTGGCTTGAGGGAGGAGCGAGGAGATGTTGCAATCTGTTTGCAATCACATAGTCCAGTGCCCCAGAGTGTCCTGGGTGATGTGTTACAACTTCCAACAGAAGCCAGGCGGGCCAGCAAAGCAAGCTGTAACCTCCCAGGTGGACGGCTTTGGCAGGGGGGTTGGTCTAAGACAGTCCCTTACTGAGTGAGTGAGTCACTGTGCGTGAGACACAGCAGAACCCTTTATTCCCACAGAACTCACCGTTGAAAGACGTCTTGATGAAAATACAGAGATTTCGGGTCTTTGTTGCTGTGGTAACAAGGTTGTGTCATCATCTGCCCCAGTTGTGGCTCAGGTGCAGATGAACAAGCCTGCTTCTCTAGAACCACCTGCACCCTGCTGCACTGTAGACAGCAGGTGCGGTGTGGACTCAGGATGAGACGGGCGAAGCGAGCTGGGGGAAGGCAGACCAGCCCAGGAAGGCACAGGTGCCTTCCTCCACCAGAGGGGGAGGGCTGGGACAGCTGCAGGACAGACCTGCTTTTCAAGTACACTAGAAAGACTTTTTACAGCAGGTCAGGACAGGGCCAAGGTTGCAGGGTCTCAGCCCACCCTGGCATTGTAACAACCCAAAGGGGCTCCGCAAAAGTGTCTGGTACTAGAAACTCAAAGCTGTGTTCACAGAACAAATAAAGAGCAGAGCATCACTCACACACACCAGAAACAAAGCAACTAGCCAGCACTTTAATGTAGATGTGCAGCTGGGAAAGAAAGTGATGCCATCACACCTAATCACTTTGACGCCTCGCTTCATTGCTCAGGTTCTTCTGTGCCTGCAGGCCCTCTTAAACAGGCCCTTCTGCAAAGATGCTTCTCAAGCCCCCAGTGCCCCTGCACAGAGACACGTGCTAGGATTTGTGCACTGGCCTACATTTGCCTTAAGAGAAACCTACTTTGCGTTGTTTCCTGTGTCCACTGAGCAGTGTGAGGAGCTAGCCATTTCTTTCCAGGGAACTTAGAATGTCCCCTTCTTTAGCTGTAGAGACTGCTTTAAAAAGACATGAAAAAGAACATGTTTGGCTGGAGGGATGGCTTAGAGGTTAAGAGCACTGACTGTTCTTCCAAAAGGTCCTGTCCTGAGTTCAATCCCAGCACCCACATGGTGGCTCCCTGCCATCTGTAGTGAGATCTGCTGCCCTCTGCTGGTGTGCAGGTGTCCATGCAGGCAGAACTCTGTACACAGAATAAAGAACATGGTGGAGCACAGCCTTGCTTGCCCCAGCGCTCAGAGGCTGGAGATTGACGAGAAGTTCCAGGTCAGCCAGGGCTGCGCACCAGCAAAGCCTGTCTCAAACAAACAAGACAGCAAGGGCAGGAAGAAGGAAGGGGAAAAAATAAACCATATTTTAAAATAAAGTTCATTCTTTCTTTTTTTTATTTTTAACTGATAACAAATAAACATATTTACAGGAAGTGTTATTCTTACAAGTTTTCTATAAGCTGAAAATACCACTACAGATATTATTAAGATACAGTGTTGTTTTAACATATGGCTTGACATTGATCTACTAACATGGGGTGGTGACATAGCATGTCCTTACCTACAGTGGGTAAGGACTGTACTCTCTCCTGTAGAGTGTATGCTTAATCCCAGCAGGCAGCAGGCAGAGGCAGGCAGGTCTCTGAGTTCCAGCAGCCACACAAGCAAACCCTGTCTGGGGGTAAATACTAGGTATCTACAGCTAAAAGGCTGATGGGGACTTAGAGATAGCTTAGTTAGTGGCATGCTGGGCAGCAGGGAGCTGGGCCCTCATCCCCAGCCACGGAGCGTGCAGCTTGCTTTTGTATCTCAGCAACTCTGGGGAGGTAGAGACAGCAGATTCCTGGGGCTCACTGGCCAGCCAGCCTCACCTCATGGGTGAACTCTGGCCAACACATGTACACTGATGGGAACCATTCTGGTTTGAAAATGGATTTTGATTAAATTTATAGAGTAGTAGCTTAGGAACATTTTAATCCATGTTTACTTTTTGTTGTTTTTGTTTTTGTTTTGAAACTGGGCTTCTCTGTGTAGTCTTGTCTGTCCTGGAATTCACTCTAAATGAGACAGGCTGGAACTCACAGCGATCCACCTGCCTCTGCTTCCCAAATGCTGAGATTAAAAGCATGTGCCACCACCAACCGTATTTACATTTTTAAGTAATTAAAAACACTTTTTTAGATGTATTTATTTTATGTGAGTTGGTATTTTGCGTGCATGTATGTATACATGCCACATGCAGGCCTGGTTCCATTGGAAGTCAGAGAACTTGAGTTCCAAAAGCAAATTTTGTACAAAGGGGAGAATCTTGTGTCTGTTGGGCCTGCCTGTCTGCCCTGGGGAATTACTATACTCGTTGCTTGATCTGTTGAGCTTCTTAGATGTAAAGAATTGTATTTAATAGGGTGTGCATTGGCGTAGTCTGAGATGTGCCTACACCAGCCAGTTCCTGCTCACCAGTCCCCACTGGAGCCTGCTTGTTTGTTTGTTTGTTTGTTTGTTTTTCCAGAAACCCAAGTTGTCAGCTGATATCTGAAATTCCTGTGGGTTGTTTGTTTTGTTTTTAAAATTACTGCAATTTAGATGCTAAATTTTAGTCTTAACATCTTTAGGAATTTTCTTCCTTATTGGCACATTAAAATAATAGTATATTTTACAGTATATGACGTTATCAAGTCAAGAAAAATGAATGCTCATTTCTATGGCAGAAGCAGATAACAAGGAGAAGGGAAAATGGCACCCAAACTGTAGCAGGAAGTGCTTGCTTTAAACAGATGTCTCTGCTCTGGGCAGCGCTGGCATTGCAGGAAAGGGAGTTTATAAAATTTCGTCAAATTTCACAAGTCCGGACTCAACTGCAGTGGCTTCCAATGCTGACTCCATTTTTAGTGCTGTCTGCATTGCATGTGAGTGAGGCAAGATCAGCAGCCAGCATTGCCTCGTGTTTGAGAGGTGTGTGTGAACTGTGGTGCTGTTTAATATTGGTCAGACAGCAAGTCCAGGTGGCTGACTCCTCGGGTCATCATCCTCTTTGGCGTAAAAGGACAGCTTCTGCCTAACGTTACCATAAAGAGAAAAAGGAAACCTTGAGTTTGACAGCCATACGGTTTTGTGTGATATGGATGAGACACTTCCACTTTGGTTTGCAGACACTCAGTTGGTACCAATAAGAAAGGACTGATGAGCGCCTTCTGTCATCACGCACTCATTCTCTCGGTTTAAAGAAAACTTCGTTAGCTTTGGAAGGATGTAAGGCTCTAGCTGTTTATTATCGGTGAAATTGCTCTTGGCTCTAACCCATTAGCCCTTGTGTGTAGCACCGGGGAGCCCAAAGGGCCAGAAAGACACTATCGCGCCCTGACTCACCTTGCATTTCCCCCTCTGTCCTGTTCTGTGCCCACAGTGAAGCCGCTGCCCACGCTGTCGCCACACTGGCTGAAGCCACCTTACAAGGCGGGGGACAGATCGTCCTGTCTGGAGAAACCGCAGCAGCCGTCGGAGCACTTACTGGAGTCCAAGATGCTAATGGTAAAAGATCATGAATATTTTATTGAATGTATTCCCTGTTTCCACTTAAACCTTCCTGATATAGCTGGCAGCAAACCCTTTAGAAAGAGATTGAGATGGGTTGGAGTTTTTGGCAGTTGGTGCCTGGGAAAATCTAGGGGCCTTGGATTCCTTTCACTAATGGGATTCTTGAGATTCTCTGAAGGAAAGTGCCACAATAATGGCTACTTAATCATAGTACTTTTAAGAAATTAGCTGTTTTGCTAAGAGGAGACTTGCTGAGACATAACTTCAGAATTTGCTGTGGGGCATTTCCCTCCTTTGCTGTCCTGGAGGATAGGGTAGGTTGTTGATCTTGACTGCAGCAGAGACCCTCGGGGAGGGTGGAATGCGCTGACTCCATCCAAAGAGGCGCAGCCATGTCACCTGTTCCAGGGTAGACAGCAGCCTGTGATGAAGGCGCTCTTCTGTGTGGGCCTGTGGGTTCTGCTTCTTGTTATATGTGGCAGACAGCTGGGTTTATCCAGTAACAAGACCCCACCCTGCCCTTCTTTCCTAGCTCTTTGTCTTCATGGATATTGGTGACTATCCTAAATAAACAAAATGGATAAAGTTCATAGAAATATGAAAAACTTATGGGTCCAGCCCAGCTCTTTGGATCTCCTTTAGCAGGCTCTGGGAGTCAGTAGCCAGGACCTGAGCTTCTCAGGGAAGTGCCTCAGAAGTCTGCCTGGGTCAAAGAGGAGGACCAGCCTGATCTGTGAGACTGTGTGTGATGTTTCTTTAATTAAGCAAGACAAATTAAGTTTCTATGACATGGGAGAAACTGTTATTTAAAAGTCCTGGCAAAAGGGTAAATAGATAACATCTTTTGGGGTTGGTTGGTTTGTTTGGGAGGGGGGTTGTGTTGTTTCAGTTTTTGGAAACAGGGTTTCTCTGTGTAGCCCTGGCTGTCCTGGACTCACTTTGTAGACCAGGCTGGCCTCGAACTCAGAGATCCACCTGCCTCTGCCTCCCGAGTGCTGGGATTACAGGGGTGCACCACTGTGCCTGACCAGATGACATCTTTTTATTTAGGCAGAAAGTTCTTTAGTGGCATTAAATGCCTGAAAGAGATATATTAGCTGGGTGTAGCAGGCATACATTTAATCCCAGCAACAGGGAAGCAGCAGGCAGATCTCTGAGTTCAAGGACAGCCAGAACTAGAGAGAGAGAGAGAGAGAGGTGGGGTTTCTAGCACTATTTACTTTAAATACCCTGTAGGTCAGGGGAGTCTTTGGGGAAGACTACGTCCTGCAAAGTCAAAGACTGCAAAGTCCTCCTTTGCAGTAGGAGAAAGTTCTTCTGTCACTTCTGAGGGTCATTTTCCCAAAAAAAGAAACAAATTACATGCTGCAGCCACTGTCTGTATTCTGAGGCTGACGTGCTTTCTAACAGTACCCTGGGTGGAGAGAGGATTGGAATACTGCAGAACAGAGGACATCTTACAACTGTGTGTACAGGCAGGCCACAGTGGACCTGGAGACATTACAGAAGAGCTCCGCCCAGGACGCTGTCTATTGCTTCCTCCTCTGCTTGCAGAGCGGAAGGCAGGCTGCCTGGATGCGTGGCCTTCTTCTAAAGTACAGTTGCTGTTGCTCTCCGTGGAACTGCTAGAATACTTGGATTCATAGGAGAGTTTGTTAGCCATCCCAGGGATTGATATATTGGGAGAGAGCTGGCTGCTTTAGGGTTCCGGCTCCGCCCAGGCACACCTTTAGAGTGACAGCCTACAGAGAGCTCTAAGGATGCCTGGGTCTGTCAGACAGTCTTGATGGGCCATATAATAGAGTTGAATCACCTTCTCTGCTCTTCAATGCTAGAATGCCTCTTTCTGGGTAGTTTTCATGTTCTTGGCTGTGTTCTTAATAAGAAAACATTTGTAGCCTCCATCCTAAGAGCCGAGCATAGTGACACATGCCTGTCCTTAGTCCTACTCGGCAGGCTGAGAATGGAGGATGCTCATGCTCATGAGGTAGAGATCACGGGAAGAATGTAGTCTCAAAAATGAAGTTTTAAAGATTAATTTCAAAGATTTAATTAAGAAGAAAAAGAAGCTACTAGTCCCTAGGCGTGGGGGCACCTGTAATCCCAGCACTCTGGAGGCAGACACAGGTGGATCTCCATGAGTTCCACAAAGTGAATCTAGGGCAGCCTGATCTACACAGAGAAACCTTGTCTTGGAAAACAAGTGCTCAGCAAAGTCAGGACTTTTAACTTGGACTTGTCCCTTTCTCCTTGCGGATTCTCTGTATCAGACTATATTAGTGTTCTATACTTCATCTCGGTGATTTCAGGCAAAAGGCAATCATTTTTATCTGCTCTTGGGGATCCAAACAAGTCTAATATGGAGAGGGTCCAAACTGTCCTGACGTTTCTTCTGTGTTGACTCTTTCACCTCGAATGATAGAGGGTTTGCTGCAGATTAGACCTGCGAGTTCCGCCCTCATCCACTAACAGTAGCTGGCCAGACCAGCCAGGGTTCTCCTCAGTTTTCACATCCTTGATACGTGTGTAGTCATAAACTTGAAGCATCTGCCGGTAAACCAACAGATTTCTTTTGTTTTTAAATCAGAAAGAATTATCAGGAAGAATCTAATTTGGCAGAATAAAGTCCTACTTAAAAGAATAGAACTGACTGGGAAATGGACACTTCTTGGGGAAAATGCATACACTCTAGAACAATATAAAGAACAATCCAGACAAAAGATGATTCTTCTCAGAGCAATTCAGATACGCTCTCAGGCTCGAAGAGGAGTTTGTGGGGCAAATCTAGGAGGAGTGGGTCGGCCACAGAATTTGATGGAGTAAAGTAACCACAGTGATTAGTTAGGGCATTGAGAGTTTAAAGTGTTATCTATAAGACAGTGTTGAAGGTCATGACCTGGGCGTTACAGGTTTAGGTCATCAAGGCAAGCTGACCAGTGCCCTCTCTACCCATATGCCCTGAAGACATAGCCTTTTCTTTTTGGGTGCCAACTCTGTCCCAACTGACATGAAGTTGGAGCCCTAGGATCACTTGATTCTGTCTGTCTTCTAAGGCTTTGCATTTTAGTCTGCTCATTTCCCTTCACTGTACTGCCCTCTTCTCCACTAGGCCCCTGGGTCCCCTGTGCTCCCAGGACTCACAGCCTCCACCGCTAGGAGATATGGGCGCTGACGGGGAGGGGCGATGCTTATGGACCTTTTCTCCTTCTTCCTAATTTGCAGCAAAAATAATGAAAGGGTTCTGTTGACTGCTGGCCATAGCAGGCAGCCTCTGCTTTTAGATGAGAAATGTCATGATACATTTAGGTATCTTTCCTTCCTAAAAACAAGATGAGGCTGAGCAAAGCAGGTGACTGAGTTGCTAGGTACCCATGCTTCTTCCTAGAACCGGTCTGTGTCTCAAAATTTTTAAATTACTTGACCTCTTCCTAGTAATCCAGAAGAAAAAAAAAAAGGACAAAGAGCATTTGCTCTGGCCTTTGGTTGTGGTTGTTTTGTTTGTTTCTTTGTTTTCCATTTTTTTCCATGGGGGTTATTTTTGGTTTTGCCTTGATTATAAAATTATTCGTAATTCCACAAAATATAATATTGATTTTGGGGTTTGGTTTTTGTTTTTTAAATCTAGCCTTTTCTATCTGTTCAAAAAAAAAAAGTTTTCAAACTAAATAAGATTGTATTGTCAGTATTGTTTTGTAATTTATTTTGAATACCTTAACCATTTTCATGTCATTAGGTAATTTTTGAAAAGGTCATTTTGTAATGCGTGGTAATCTTTCCATCGTCTTACCCATAATTAGACAGAGAGCCTCCTGTTGTGGATAATTTAACTTACGAATAGTTGTTTTACAATAAAATAGCACAGTCTGTGCTTGTCCAAGGCTTGCACACCTTTACGGATTATTTGCTGCCACGTCGCCCGTGCCTGCTTGCTCTTCTACACGGGGCTGCCGGCCTGCTGCTCTACACCGCACCGAAGGTTAGCATATTTTTACCTGTTTTAGGACAGGCAATAAGTTCCGTCTCATTTAATTTGTATTTTTGTTAGTAATATGTATTCCCCTTTTTCATCCTTTTTTAAGGTCTCATTATGTAGTCCAGGCTGGCCTCAAACCCAGAGGTGATCCTCCCATGTCACCCCCTTGCTCGCTGGGATTACAGGCATGAATGAACCGCAACAGCTTGCTCATGCTTCCATCTGCATCTGTGCATTTGTGTATCTCGTGTTCTGTTCCTTTTCCTGCTATATTTGTTAGCCCTCATAATGTTCGTTGACATGTGTATTGTTTGTTATTGATGTAGAGAAGTTTGATTTTGTTTGTTTTTGTGTCCACAGAGTTTTGTTTTGTTGTTTTTGTTTTACTCTGAGACAGGGTTTGGTGTGTTCTCCAGGCTGGTGCTGGAGTCATGGCGCCCTTGCCTCGGTCTCCCGAGCGCTGGCCTGGCAACGTGTGGCCACCACGCCTGGCTGTTCTTCTTGTTCCGTTGGCTTTGGTTTTTTCCAGACAGGGCTTCTCTGTGTAGCTCTGGCTGTCCTAGAACTCACTCTGTAGATCAGGCTGGTCTCAACTGAGGGATCCACCTGCCTCTGTCTCCCAAGTGCTGGGATTAAAGAATTGTTCTAGCCCAGCCTAGCCTGATATGGTCTTGATTTTTTTTTTTTTTTTTTTTTTTGAGTACTATGAAATATCTTAAATTTCTTTTACTCTGTGGTATTAGGTAGAAATCTACTTTGGTATTTCCCATCCATTGGTATCACAATATTTGATATTATCATTCAGTGAAAGACCCATTTTTAAGATTGAATAGAAAAAATTAGATATCTGAAGAGTGAGCTTTACATTAGTTTTCCAAGAGGAAAGTTCTCCAAGAGAAAATGACTTTTCTTTCTAGCTCTCTGCTGCAGGCCTCCTAGCAGCACTCCTGTGTTGTCCCGGTTAAGACTTGGGCTCTCAGTCTTCCCTGGCGCTCTGAGAGGAGGAGAATGGCCGAGAGAC